ACAAGATGAATCACATAATGGAATTCTTCTGAATTTTGCGAAATTAGACTTCAACTTATTGCATAAGATGCATCAGAAGGAGCTACATGTCATTACCAGGTTATATATTTTTCTTTCTACACGCATTGATACATATGTACGTATGTTTGTATACACACGCACTCATATGGCTAGATTTTAAGATTTTACTTGTGGATATAAATTGTAGGTGGTGGAAGGCTTTAGAAGTTGGAAAAAAATGGCCTTTTGCAAGAGATAGGATTGTCGAATGCTACTTTTGGATATTATCAGTCTACTTTGAACCCCAATACTCTCTTGCTAGGAAAATACTAACCAAAGTAATCGCCATGGCTTCTATTCTTGATGACATCTATGATGTTTATGGGACCCTAGATGAACTTGCACTTTTCACAGACGCAATTGAAAGGTGAATTAATTCATGGTCTCGTTTTGAATGGTTCTTTGTGTCTTAACATCTCGAATATTTATTTATTTTGAGATATAGTTTGATTAAATTCTGATATGATATCACATTTTTGTGAACAGGTGGAATGTTAGTGCCATAGATCAGCTACCAACGTACATGAAATATTCATACAAATCTCTTTTAGATGTTTATGTCGAAACTGAGGAAGAGTTGAAAAAGAACGAGCAATCATACTGTGTTTACTATGCTATAGAAGAGGTAATTAATACAAAGGAGGTTATTCATCATTTTATCAAAATTATGTTTAACATATCTAATGAAGTTTCCAATTTGCAGATGAAAAAATTGGTCCGGGCATATTTTGAAGAGGCAAAATGGACATACAATGGATATGTTCCGAAGCTAGACGAGTATATGAAAGTCGCACTTGTATCTAGCGGTTATATGATGCTGTCGACAACATCCTTAGTAGGTATGGGAGAGACGGTAACCAAGGAAGCCTTTGAATGGGTTTCAAGTGAACCATTATTTTTACGAGCTTCTACACTAATTAGTAGACTAATGGACGACATGGTTGGACATGGGGTAAGAAGTTTGAATCTTTAACTTAACAACTCTAGTTAATGTTTAAGATTATTTAAAGAATAAAGCCTCTTGTACATTGTT